TGCCAACATGCAAACCTGCTGCTGCTGCCAATGGATTCGTGCTGTCAGGCAACTCTCGCTGGCATTCAACACGCCGGCTAGCTCGTCATCATACTCTCGGCTTGGGAGGTTACGCAAACTAGCATAAGTCAGCCCATGCAGTCCACCGGCTTTATCATTAACCCGATTTGCAATCCGACTGAGCTCTGCTCCCTCAATGGGCGGAAGCGGGTGCTGTCTTGCCTTATCCTCTAAAACTTTGCCAGGTCTATACTCCGGCCCGGCTTCCCCCCACAATTAGACCCATTGTTGTCTACGAAGCTTGCTCTCTTTCTCTCTCTTCCACTGTTGTGTCCTGAAATGGTCTAACAAACACATTTTCAGCCTTGGACAAGCTTCGGAAGAAAGGCCTCATTCCTTTTGCCACGCCTGCGTGGAGCCATTGTATTGTTTGAGGCTGGCCTTATTTGCTTGCACTTGCGCCTCGGCTTCCTTAGCTTCAGCGGCCTCGCGAAGCTTGACCAAAGTGTCCACCTGGCGTTGCGCAAATGCCCCCGAAACTGCCTCAATGACGGATTCTGCCTCCGGGCTGCGCGCTTCCCTTTGCAGGAAAACATCGACTGCTTTGGCATCTCCTTGCACCTGTTCCCAGGTGCTGCTGTTGAGCTGGTATTGCAGTCTAATGATGCACCTTCGCATGCGACTCCACCAACCCGCTGCTGTGGCCTTGCTGGCCTGCACACAACGGGTCTCCTGGATAGTGCGCCACACTTCAGACAGAGACAGACAAACAGACAGACAGAGAGACAGACAATCACACAGAGACAACAGAGACAGACAGACAGACAGCCAGACAGGCAGGCAGGCAGGCAGGCAGACAGACAGACAGACAGACAGACAGACAGACAGCAGACAAACAGACAGACAGACAGCAGACAAGCAGTTTCAGTGCACCGCCTGTCAAGGCCTCTTCTCCATTACCTCCCCGGACCGCGTGCCGGAGGTGCTTAAGAAATCCTGCTACGTCTCCCGGCGTTGGGGGCAACAACCGGTGCAGAACACCACCTTTGCCACGCTTTTTGGGAACCAGCACGCAGCACCGACCGCAGGGCAGCCTTAACACAGCCTGTGGAGGAAGTTTAGCTGCTGCTCCAGGAGGTTTATCCTCCGCTATAGGAGGGAACCTCCCGGCGTATCCGGAGTGCGGTCACACCTCTGGCGGAGGGAACCCCGCGCTAGTCCGGAGCGTGGTCACACCTCCCCCACAGTGGGAGAGTGCGTCTAACTTGAGTAGCTTAAGAGCCGAGAAAGGTACCCAGCTGGGGTAAACCCTCTCTGTAGCCCTGACCTCAGGTGGCCAAAGGCGTAAACACTGTCGCGCAAACCTCAGAATCAGAGTTTGAAAGTCCGACCCCTAGAAAAAGAAATTGACGATGTTGTTGTTCTCCCCCCCCACCCGAGCCCTGGAGGGTTCGAACCTGGGTTGAACCTGGGTTCGAACACCCCCCCCCCCGGACCTTGCTCTTTGGTCGGTTATGTCTGCTTCGTGTTGCAACCACTTTGAAGCTGAAGATGGTCGGAATGCACGACGTACAATGCAAGTTCTTCGCACCGGTAGCACTTCTGCTATGGAGGTCATGAAAAGGAAGCAGACCTAGCTGGTTCCGAAAGGAAATGGTGCTGGCAATGCGAAAATGTTCAAAGACTGCTGCTTTTGTACGTGAAACTGGAGGCGGGACCAAGAAATCCCGGATCTTTGCTGTTTTTCGGCTAGCAGGAAGAGAATTCATGAAAAGGAAATAGACTTAGCTGGTTCCGAAAGGAAATGGTGCTGGCAATGCGAAAATGTTCAAAAACGGCTGCTTTTGTACGTGAAACTGGAGGCGGGACCAAGAAATCCAGCATCTTTGCTGTTTTTCGGCTAGCAGGAAGAGAATTCATTAAAAGGAAGCAGACTTAGCTGGTTCTCAAAGGAAATGGTGCTGGCAATGCGAAAATATTCAAAGACTGCTGCTTTTGTACGTGAAACTGGAGGCGGGATCAAGAAATCCAGGATTTTTGCTATCTTTCAGCTAGCAGGAAGAGAATTCATTCAAAGGAAGCAGACCTAGCTGGTTCCCAAAGAAATGCTGTTGTTCGGCTAGCAGGAAGAGAATTCATTGAGGTCCGAAAGGAAATGGTGCTGGCAATGCGACAATATTGAAAGACTGCTGCTTTTGTACGTGCAATTGGAGCCGGGACCAAGAAATCCAGGATCTTTGCTGTTGTTCGGCTACCAGGCAGAGAATTCATTGCCAGGAAATGCGAAAATTTTCAAAGACTGCTGTTTTAACTCCAAACCCAAAATCCCTGGACCAAGGAATCAAGATGTGACATTGTGGCCGAGTGGTCACCTGCTGTGTCCTTCGTTTCTTGTGTTTTTACAATAAAAATGCGCCCATGTGATGAAGCAACGGCACCATTGCCGTTTGATCGCCGCATAATAAGCTTTGCAAAACGTTCAAATCCGGAAATCAACTTCGCTACCGGTGACGGCGTCTATTCTCGAGGTTCCCACATGAGTTTGCTCTTTGCATCTCAAAACTTATTTTCCGGGCCTTTCCATTTTTGGCTCTTCCGCGCAGACTTGCGTGCAATTTACCACCGTACAAGTGGTCAAAGACAAAGTCGCTCAGCCCTCACGTGGCCTGCCGAACGTGAACTACAGCTGAACAGCAATCTCCTCCCATCTGGCAGCTTACAACCCAACAGCTCTGACTTCTCTCAACTCTCTGATCGTCTGGTAACTCCTTCCCTTCCCTTCGGCCAAAAATCCCAGGGCTTGCCAGAGTCGGAGAGCCTCCGTCAGTGCCCAAACCCCAATCCTTCCAAAGCTTCCACAGCTCTAAAGTACTAGAACCCTTCATAATACCCAAATCATTTTTTGCGAACACAAGAAATGTTTCCTTCTTTTCACATGGGCCGAAGGACTGGAGACCACTCGTAGCCGAAAGCCCAGAGGCAGCCGCTTCACGCGTTCTTTTTTTCCTGTTTTCGGAGAAACTAATTCTATTCTCCCACGGCGGGAAAAAAAAGTCTGCCGTAACCCCAGGATCTCGTGCGGAACGGTTCCTTTGCGTTCCTTGCCGCTTTGTTGACCAGCAGAACACGTGGAGTTTGCGGAGTTTTCGCAGGTGTAGTGTTCCTTGTCCATTCCTTTCCACATGTTTGGCATGGAGTGACCTGTTCTGCGCTTTCGTTTGGCCCAGAGTAGCACAGATGATCGTTTGGCTAACAATAATATAAACCGCCAAACGGGGACGGCGGAACGCAGCCAGCACACAAGCCCGGGCAGCGGAACGTAGGCCAGCACACATAGGGGGAAAGCCAACAAGAGACAGGAACGCCACGGTGGGAATCTCCCGGAAATGGGGGCTCTGGTCCATGGGCCGCTTGCCGCTCCGCTGCCACTATCACCGTTCTCGTGACCCGCATTTTTCCGATCCCGATGATGGACGCTGCAAGGAACGGGGTACCGGTTTCCTGACGAAGCCACTAAGCCCTCTTGGCGAATCATCAGATTGAATGAATAAACATGCTGATGCGTGGGACATCAGGCAGCTTATGTTGCTTCAGAATGGTGGATACCAGTGTGCATTCCTGCATGCACCAGCCTGAGGTGCTGGAATCATGCTGCATGTGGGTCTGATATGAAGGCCGGCGTGTTCATTGTATTTCATTATCACGTGAATGGCAATCTTGTTCTGGAATTTATGTGGCATGGTGTCTGCAAGTCCGCGTGCATGTGGCAATAATGTTCCATGTTCGCCAATTTGTATGAACAGTTCCCTCTCGTTCGTGTGCTCTGCGAATGCAGGTTGAGTCAGCCGATGCGACCCGCAGGCTTGGCGGGGAACCCTAAACCCTAAACCCCAAACCGTAACCCCCGTGCTGTCGGTCTGCCGATCAACTGCCTTGCTTGGGCCCGCAAAAGGCGGAGGAGTGAACATGCGGCAGATCCCGTGGATGGTCTTTCCGATGATCAATGTCACTTGAGATGCATTAAAGGATGACTTGCACTGGGCACGATGCTTGTTTCAGGATGCAGGTGCATTCTGTAGCTCCGAAACTGCCTGAAGCATTGTGGTTTCTCAAGGTGATTCCGTGCACGATGGAGCGTGGAGATGCGCTCGGAAAGTGCTTTCCCGGATCAAGCTGTTGGCTGTCAGACGAAGATTTTGTTTGCCCGTCCTCTTCTTGGCAGCTGTGCTCGTCAATGTGCTGCTGATGATCTTCTGGCTCCCTCACAAGTTCGAGTTCTTGGTTCTGTCGGACAGGTGCCTTGGCAACATCAGTGAGGTGGCGAACAAGCTGAAACCACTTGAAGTCAGTAGTGTTTCACTTGGTGAACCACATCCTCAAAATAGACTTGGAGCTTGAAGATCCTTGGCTCTGGCTTAGCTAGGTGCCTTAAGTCTGTGACAATGTGTAGATTAGATTAAACTTAAGAAGAACCCTGCAGCTAACTTGTTACAGTGTTGCATGCCGAGACATAAGCTTTTGGGTCGAGCCTCGAGATGCCCGGAAGTGGGTCCGCTGGCTCTAACCTGCACTTCAAACTCCAATCTCGAAAGCTTTCATGCTTGGGGTTTAGGGTTTAGGGTGAACTGACTCGAAGTCGTGGCGATCTGCAGTCTGATCTTCAAGAGGATGCTTCCAAGCTTTCGGTGGAACTCCCTACAAACCCACATTCACCCGTACCGGAAGCTCTGCCGCTCCTCCAGCGGTCATGACTTTTGACAGGGCTGCAGAGCGGCAGATTGACGGAAGCCCCCTACAGAAGTTGTCCCTTGCAGTTAGCAAGACTGGTAGCAAAAGACTGTCGTCCCTAAACCCTGGCCCTAAACCCTAAGCTTATGTCCGACTCTTGTGCTAACTCTAGTCAGATCGTAAGTGGCCCAACACAGGATAACAATAGGAAAAAACGTAGGAATCGTGGGTTTTTTGGAAATAGGAGTAAAATCGAAGAAAAGTAGAAGAAAAATAGGAACCCCGGCCCGCTCTTCCCGCGCTCCTTTCTACCCTGTGGGTACGCGCTTTTCATATTTTTCCAAGCGTTTTCCCTACATTTCCTATGGTTTCCCTATTTTAGTCCTATTTTCCCCCATTTATCACCATTATATTCTTGATTTTGCCTATTTTATTCCTATTTGTCTCCATTTTTTCTCTACTTAATGCCTATTTGTTCCCCTATTTTTCCTATTTCCCCTACTTATCCGTATTCATTGCAAACCTGGTATTTTCATACTTTTCCGATTTTTCTCCTAAATTGTGGTTTTGGAGGTTTTCTAGAATTAGCACTATTGAGTCGGACATAACCCTAAACCCTTTCAGGCCCTAAGCCCTAAACGCCCTAACCCCCTTAACCCCAGGAGCGGCGAGGATACATCTTTCAGGAGGTACACTGGATATCGCATGGCTGACATGCTCACCAAGGGATCGGTGCGATGGGGCTTGGGCGGCGAGCAGTTCTACTTCCGTTGGTTGCCTGGCCTTGAGTGGGCTTAGGCTTTAGGGTTTAGGGGTTTGGGGTTTAGGGGCTTCCTAAACCCTAAGCCCCCAGCTCGCTGGGCAGGTTAGGCACTGGGCAGTGATCTAGTCGGTGTTCTGGGAGACTGTCGCCAGTTTATGAGTCGTTCTCTAACTTAGGGTCCCCCTTTTTAGGTCCCAATAAAAGTACGGCACCCTCAGAAAAAGGAACCCCAAAAGGGACCCCTAATTTAGAGAACTGCCCATATGGGTTTACGGATCCCCCCCCCCCCCCGGCTCCTGGTCTCCCGGAAAAATCCCGGATCAGGCCCTCAGCCAAACGTGGCATTCGGACTCCCGACATGGGGCAGGAGGAAAAGAGGGTTCAGCAAAAAAGTCCCGAACCCTGAACCCTAAGCCCTGAACCCTGAACCCTAAGCCCTGAACCCTGAACCCTAAGCCCTCAACCCTGAACCCAAAAGCCGGAATCCTAAACCCTAAGCCCTGAACCCCAAAGCCGAAAATCCTTACGCCCCAGAGCCCGAAGATTCAGGTTTCCCCGAAGTATCGTGGCTGAATACATGCGCCGCACCTGGCAGATGGAGAACTGGCCCGTGCTGAGAGACTTGGACACCGGGTCAAATGCCCCAAACCGGAACTTTCACAGATCAGGGTTATTTTTTGGGGGTCTGGGCGATGTGTTACTGCGGTTCTTGCTCATCCTTCTGCTTCCTTTGTTGAGCATGACCAGGTGAGATTGTCGATGAACGCTGGAGAGGCGATATTGAACGGTCCAACGCTCTTCTGGTGCACCTGCGTCTTGGAGACGTCTTGGAGCGGCAGTATATGCTGTTCCGGCATTATGTTGCTCTGCTCGACGGAACCCTAAACCCTAAACCATAAGACCTAAACACAAAAGGGAGGTAGATTCAGCTGCCGCGAGTTTGTAAGCCACATAGGCGCTTGCATCCTTCCTAAACCCTAAGCCCCGACGCTCAACGCTCAACCCTAAATCCTACGGTTGATGATATCAATCCTGCATTATTCAAAATAAGGAGTATACCATAATTCCCATAGCTTAGGGTCCTTAAGGCAATGCTAAGGACTTCTATCATCAACAGTACTGACACCTACACCATGAGCTTTCAACCCTACGCCCGGCCCCAGGCCCTCCCTCCATACTCCCGAAACCTGGGAAAATCGGAGCTGGCTCAGGTTATCAACGAAAGCCGCTAAGTCTGCAGTCAGGTGTAGGGTCTAGGGTTTAGGGTTTAGGAGTTGGTGCTAACTCTTTGTTGCTTTGGGGTTTCCCCTCGGTATAGAAACAAGGCAAGGCCCACAGTTTTGAGGTTTCAGTGGCATGGTTTTCGTTGCTTCTCGCAGTCTCTGAAACCACCAAAAAGGCATGCTGAGGGGGTCTTGTTTTCAGTACTTCAGTGATTCTCTCTGTCCGCGTAGAGCGTTCCTTAAATCCTGAGGGAGTCTTCTTGAGGGTCTGTGTTCCAAGCCCTTAGAACTCATGCGCACGCAGGAGGGACCATCTCCTTCATCATAAATCTTAAGCTTCAGGGTTTAGGGGTTTAGCGGTTTGAGGACTTAGAGGCCTAGCATGGCAGTGTAAGTCATCCTCATCCTTAATCTCTAAACCCCTAAACCCTAAACCCCTAAACCCCTAAACCCTAAACCCTACACCTTAAACCCTAAACCCTACACCTTAAACCCTAAACCTTAAGCCGTGCCCCAAGTACCGAGGCTTCTACGAGGCCTACCAGGCTCCCGGTGAGGCCCAGGTGACTGGGCTCTTCTTTTGGCTGTTACCTTGAGCTCTCTTAGTTTAGAGTTCTAGGGCTTTAGGGGTTTAGAGGTTTCGGGGTTTCGGGGTTCAGGGGTTTCGGGGTTTCGGGGTTTCGGGGCGGTTTAAGGGTTGAGGGGTTTAGGGGTTTACGGATCTATGGTAGATAATCTGGTTTCCTTGCTATGGTAGTTTCGTTTAAGTTATGGTCCTGAACAAGAACTCCAGGTGATCCTTTTTGGCAACCCGTGGCACCAAGTGGCCACAGATGCTGGGCGTCAGGGATGCAGCGTAGAGCCACGGTGTGGGGGTTTTGGGAGTTCTTGACGGTGTCCCTGTGCAGACCTTCCGTGTTTGACTCCAAATCCCACATGGGTAGTTCTCTAAATTAGGGTCCCATTTTCGGTCCCCAAAATAAAACGGCACCCTTATCAAAAAGAAAAGCAACCCTAAAAGGGCCCCTAATTTAGAGAACTACTCGCATCGTACACGTTTTAGGGGTTTGGGTTTGAGGTCCTCGGGTTTTTTTGGGAACCCGATTTTCGGACTTGGACATGATTGCATTGATGAAGTTGCCTTGTCCTCAGAGAAGGCATGGTCGCAGCCTAAACACTAAACCCTGAACCGCTTTTTTCGGGCTTCTCAACTCCCCAAAAGAGGGCTCTCAGGTTTCGGGGGACGATGGAGTTGAAGGCCCCGGAGGATGGGATCCGAACCCGGAAGGTCCCATTTTTGGCAATCAACATCCTCGCGAGCCCTCGGAGTCCATGACTCTCTCATCAGGACGATGCCCCTGTCTCCCTCTTAAGCTCAGCTCCCCCTAGGATGTTCTTCAAAGCCGAGGATGTGGTTCCAGAGCAGAGCTTGAAGTATGCGCATCGAGTTGAAAGTATCTTCCGGCGCGCCTGGACCGGAAGTCAAGGCTCCCAGAACAAATGCAGTGCTCCCCATATCCCCAGAGCCCCAACCGGAAGTGCCAAGGGCTTTTGACTCTTATCCCGTGCCCCAAACGCCCCCATAAGCTTAAACCCGAGCCCGAACCCCTAAACCCTAGCCCCTCAGGCCCTAACTAAAGCTCATGTATACGTTGAAGCCCCCGATGATCAGGAAAAGGGCTGGCCACCGCACTGCACCTCTCGGACTTCAATGCCAGCAATCCTGAAGCTGGGCTCGTTTTAAGGAACTCTTTTTCAGTTGCCATGGTAGCTGTTGATGGTAGAAATCCTGCATTAATTACCGTAAGGACCCTATAACTTTGGGAATTATGGTACATACCTCACTATGGGTCATGCAGGCTTTATATATCATCCGCCGAAGAAAGCCATTAAATCCAAAGCAAGAGCCCCTAGGAGGAGACGGCGGAGGAAGCTGACAAGCACCTGCAATTGGCGCTGATGCCCGGATGGAAGTCTTAGGCGTTTGGTGATTGTGGGGGCCAGAAGAATTGGAGTTTAGGGTTTAGGGTTCAGGGCTTAGGGTTTTGCCTCAAGTTGCTTAATGTGTGGTCTCGTATACTGTCCTCTTTTTTTATCGCCTTGGTTCTGAGGACCTTGGAGGGATGCTGCAGTTTGGCTTGAAACATCGGCTCGGGGGCTTGTTTGGGGTGTCGGATTTAAGGGAATCTGCTTGCTGGTTTATGATTTGTGGCTGTGGGTTGCTGAATCCTAAACCCTAAACCCTAAAGTCCTAAGCCCTAAACCCCTCAACCGTAAACCCCAGACGCTAAACCGCTGAGCTAAGAGTTTTGAGCGCTCCGGCTTTAAGCTTGGTGCGTCTCTCTTCAATGCCAAACCCCCCAGACTGGTTCCCCATGTAAGGTTTCGGATTTAGGGGGGTTTAGGGTATATTGCAAGCAGTCATGGGACAATCCAGAAGCGAAACACTGGTGGATGAACTACATAAAGAACGATATGACGGCTGAGAGTCACCAAAGAGATCTGTACAGTCTCCAGAGCACATCAAAATCCTCCAACATACAAGGACCAGGGAGACGCGGTGCACTTGGCGAATAAGCCGCCTTCCGAAATAGTGCCCCAGCCTGTCAAGCCCGAGTAGACACACCATCCCAGGAAGCCAAAGGCTTCTTACAAAGTGATTGCACAGGGACACTAGCTCCCAAGCAACGGAGCGCGGGCCTTGGGGATATCTCCCACGGCACCTCAACCCTCTTAAGCATTTCAGGGAGAATATGTAAACAGAAATTGCGCTGTTTGTTTAGCGCTGGCCTAGTCAAGGATAACTCTTGCCAATGGGGTTTAGGGCTCCTTTATACTTAAGCTTTCATGACGGGTCCCTGGTTGAACTCGAGATTTTTCACCATCCCTGCTGCGAAGGAGTGGGTCTCGACTGCTGATATCAGGCGGTGGCTTTGGGCGTCTGCTCAAGCGACTGGCGCAGTACCGGGGTCTCCCCGTCGATGACCCTTCAGTGGCATGGAATTCACTACCACTACTACTACTACTACTACTACTACTCCTACTCATGATGATGATGATGCTGATGATGATGATGATGATGATGATACCAACAATGGTGCTGACGATATGCGGCCTCACGTGTTGTTGGGAGCTTCGTAGCCGAGGTCCTAGGTGGCCTCAATATTTTGGGTTCTATGCCGGATCCTTCAAGGCGAGCTGTCATTCTCGAGAATTTGCTGCATGTCTCAATCCATCTCTGACCCTTTCCACTCCTGCACGCCGGTTGTAAAGCCCGACGGAGCCAACAAGGATCCCGTGAACAACGCCGAGGGCTCTATTGCATCCAGCGATGTGAAGGCGCAGGTGCGCAACTGGATCCAGAAATGGATTTGGACACGGCAACGGTAGCAAAATCTTGCCTCTGCCTCGTCGAGTTGACCCTGATTGGTTTGCGATGATGAGGACCTGACGGTGGTGGTGGTCGCGATGATGGTGACGATGAACACAGCGATGATCCTTTCGTTGATCTAGGAAATGAAGACTAATGAGTTAAAAAGCATACAGTAATATGAAAATGCAAATATGTATGCGTGTGTCTATGTGTATGTGCATATGTCTATCTGGGACCAAGCAGTGGAATGAGGAATGCAATCATAAGGGTTCCAAGGGTAGTTGCAATGATGACGACGGGCCCCAAGGTTGCTAGTGGATATTGAAAGGATGCCAGGCGGAGTTTGTTGAATCTTGCCATCTGTCAAGAGAGATCCTGCAGCATTCTGGCAGTGCCGGCTCAAGAACTGTTGAACTTAACCGCGACCCGCCTCGGAATCGTTGAGCCAAGCGTGGCTTCTGCCGCGCCTATTTCGCCTTCGGCAGCAAACTTTGAGGAACCGGGCGGTTTCCTGCAGTTACCGGCCATCCACAGCTTTGCCAGCGGCCTCGCGCGTACATCGCGAAGGGTGGTTTTTGCTTTCTCGGGGCTGTGTGTCGTTTCTGCCATGACACGCACTCCAAAACCCATCTGAAGATGGAAAAACCCAACGCCAGCTCATGCAAGCTATGCGAAAGGAAGATGTGAGGACCCTTCTCGTCCCTCACATCCAGAACAGGCTTCGGAAGCTCGAGCTGACAGAGAAGGCGGCTTTTGCAGGAACTCCACTCGGACGAGCAACAGGCCTTCAAAGATGTCAACAGGCGCGACCTGAGCAAGCTCAACCGTCGCCTTGCCCGACTACCATAGCATAGTGTAGTATATTATATGAATTATATCATACTATATTATATTATACTATAGTATACTATATTATACTATATTATACTATATTATACTAGATTATACTATCTTATACTGTCTTATACTATCCTATACTATATTATACTATATTATACGATATTATATTATATTATACTATATTATACTATGTTATGTTATACCTTTACTTGCGCTCGCCGCTTGTCTGTTGCATTCCGGTTATCTTACTGCGGTCTTTTGAGTCCGGCAGTAAGAGCAGCTAAACATGTAAACACCAGCATGGCTCTCTGCGGGTACCTGCGTCCAGGCGTGAAGGAATGAGCTTCCGTCGCAGTTATTTGCTTGTTGCAGTTGCCCTTCGAAGATCAAATACTCTCCCTGCAGATCTCCTGCAATGGCTGACGCGCAGCTGGATACGTCTGAGCTTGACCAGCAGCGAGCATTGATGCAAGGAGTTGTGGTTCAGCTCTGAGTTTCGGACCTGCGGCTTGGGGATTTCGTGGAGGAGATTTAATTCAGGACCCACTTCGTGGGCACGTTTGCGAGGCGCGAGGCAGGGTCAGCTTGTTTGAAGGGGCGCCGAGCCCTTGAGTGCTTTGGAATACATCTTGGCTCCTCCTAGCCAAGCTTTCTCATCGAGCCCTGTTGCAAAGCTTTTCATCCCGGGGTTACGCTTCCAGGTGTCATGCTGGGCTGCGACTAAGTCGAGCTAAATCCAGTCATCTGAATTGTGTGATTTGCGTGTTCCACACTTGATGTGGAATTTGCTGCTTGTCCAACATGGCTCCTGGCACGAACCGTCTGCGAATGATGTTCATATAGAAAGGATGGATTTTTAGTCTCCTGTCCGCTGCTTTCAGTCCCGCTGGCGGACTGCATTGCAGTCGGTGGCTGCATGAAGACCATTGTGCCGCAAACTGGCTCTGACTTGGCACCCTTTGCCGGTGCAGAGGGAGGCCGTCCAATGACGATGAGCCGGGATGCATTGCTGAGTTGCTGACAGCACCCTTCACACACTAGACAGAAAGCCCAGAGCCGCAAGGGTAGAAGTTTCAACCCTTTAATAACTTGACAGCCCCGAGGTGTTGTCGCAGCATCACTCTTGCAGGCAGTCCAGCGGATCATTTGCGATACTGAGAACACTTGGTTTTTGCCACATGTTGGAGAGGCCTCGCATCAAGCACAACATTTCTTGCATCCTCCTTGCTGTGTATGATTAAAATGCAGTTTTTGTGCTTGCTGCTTTCATGACTGCGGTAGTTACGACTGTGAGGTCAGGAGGTCGTCTTCTGAAGTTCCCAGCCCTTGAAAGCCTCGCTTTGGTGGGCCCTCAGTAGCTTGAGACAGGGCTCTGCAGGCAGTGGGGCTTCGGCTTTCAGTCGGGGTCCAGATTCCCTGAAACCCTTCATCCTGCTCCTCGCATCCCTTTGTGTGGGATCTTTCCGAAAAATGGCCCCGATTCGTGGCTCACAGGAACGCTGTCTGTGCTTAGGGACAGGGTTTCCGTGTGATTCCTTGTTCGCGCGGAGCCCAGATGAAGCCCGTTGTCTTGTTTTTTCGTTGCAGTCGTGGCTGTGCCTTAAGCAGTGCTTCTGGGTGAGGGGTCCGGGGATCAGGGGATTACTGCGTTCTCGTTATAAGGAAACCATATTATTTACTGTAGATCCCTATAGATCCCTATGATGGTAACTTAACCCAAGTCCCGTAACAAGAACCCAGATTTGTGACAACAGATTGCGGCTTGATGGGTGGCTGATGGGATCCTTAGCTCAGTAGGAGAAAGAGGTGTCAAAAGAACAATCCTAATCCCTAAACTAGGCCCTAAACCATACATCCGGCGGAGCACAGAGGTAAGCAACATCTGGTCGAAGGGGTTACGGGACCTCAGTAGCCTTGAATTGAAGCTTCGTTCTTTTTGGTGAGGAACCTCAGGGCCTCTCCCGGGATCTTTGTGGATTCCAAAATCTTCACGACATGGAGATCGATATCTTGTCCGATTCATGGCTTCCATGCCGTGGTTGTGGGTTCTGAAGCTCTGAAGCTACGTTGGATTCGCATGAGCCGTCGGGACAGCTCAGGAGGTTTCCCGGTCGTAGGAGTCGCTTGTGAGAGCCGGCGGTCTGTGGTTTAGTATAGCTCCGAAGCCTCCGGCGTTGCCCCAAGAGCATTACTCTAAACCTCTAAACCCTTTGAGCCCTTCAAGCCCAGATAGCGACAGCCTTGACCCCAGGCGCACTACAAATCTAGCACCCTTAAGGCCCTGTAAGGCGCGACTCAACCGAGGCTGCTTCCGCAACCTTGCCAAGAGGTTCGAGGCTGCTGCTGCTACTGCTACTACTACTACCACTGCTGCTACCACTACCACACCCACTCCCACTACCACTCCCACTCCCACTGCCACTCCCACTCCCACTCCC